CAGTAGTAATACAATTAAGTGAAAAAAGCAATATAAAAATAAAATGTAATAAATCAAATAAATAAAGTTTAAAGCACCCCCTATCCACACAATGCACACACACACGTATAAACTCAAACGCACACATGAGGGCACATATACATAAGTGGCTAAATGGTTAGCACTTCCACCTGGCAGTACTAGGGTCACTGGTTCAAATCCCAACCACGGCACCACCTGCCTAGAGTTTGCATGTTCTCCCTGTGACTGCGTGGGTTTCCTCCAGGTACTCTGGTTTCCTTCTACACTCCAAACACATGCTGGTAGGTGAATTGGCTCCTGTATAAATTGGCCCTAGTATGTGTATGTAAATGTAAGTTAGGGACCTTAGATTGTACACCCCTTGAGGGTTAGAGACTGATGTGAATGTACAATATATATGTAAAGCTCTGTGTAATTTGACTGCACTATATAAGTACCTGAAATAAATAATTAATAAGTGGCCATTAAATAATACATATTAGGTCTCATGGTTCATGCTAAAGTGATGGGAAAAATTATATGGTTATTATTTTTGGATAAATCTAAACTAAGAAGCTGTAACTTTTTTTAAAGTGTCAAACTTTAGGTTGTTATAATGTGTCGCCTTTTCGCATCTGCAGTCAATTTTAAGCCTTGACACCTTTGGTGTCCATTTACTCAATTCAGTCTCATCATTTTATATAACTGTTGGAGATTTTAAAGTGTCTATGTGCACTACTGAAAAAATATATTTGATAAACAGTCAACAATACTGTGCAACATAAAAAGTTGCAACTACCATCATTTTAGTCTGGGTTCTCTGCTTTTAGAAAACATATAAAGTTTTAAGTGTATTTTCTCGTAAAATGTACATTTCAGCATGTGCGTAAAATGAAAAAGCAAAAGGGTCAAAGTCTATCTATGGCATGCAAACTTGTCTGCATATATTTTAGAGCATACCTCTAGCCAAGCAGGCTTGGAAACTGATTTCTCATTGAAATGCAATATACAGACACCACAGTAAAAACTACAGCATGATATATATATATTATATATATACGGTTGTGCTCAAACGTTTGCATACCCTGGCAGAAATTGTGAAATTTTGACACTGATATTGAAAATATGACTGATCATGCCAAAAAAACTGTCCTTTATTTAAGGATATTGATTATGATGCCAAGCCATATATTATCACATAGGTGTTTGGCTCTTTTTTAAAGTCATAATGAAAACAGAAATCACCCAAATTGCCCTGGTCAAAAGTTTACATACCCTGGAATGTTTGGTCTTGGTCCAGACACACAAGGTGACACACACAGGTTAAAATGAGAATTAAAAGTTAGTTTCCAACATCTCTGACTTTCTAAATTGCAATTAGTGTTTGTGTATAAATAATCAATAAGTTTGTTAGATCTCACATGGATGCACTGAGAAGGCTAGGTTCTGAGCCATGGGAAGCAGAAAAGAGCTGTCAAAAGACCTGCATAACAAGGTAATAGAACTTTTTAAAGATGGAAAAGGATATAAAAAGATATTCCAAGACTTGAATATGCCAGTCAATACTGTTCAATCACTTATTAAAAAGTGGAAAATTCAGGGATCTCTAGATACCAAACTAAGGTCAGGTAGACCAAGAAAGATTGCAGCCACAACTGCCAGAAGAATTGCTAGGGATACAAAGAAATACCTACAGGTAACCTCAGGAGGAATACAGGCTGCTCTGGAAAAAAATGGTGTGTGTTGTTTGAAGGAGCACGATACGACTATACTTGAACAAAAATGAGCTGCATGGTCAAGCTGCCAGGAAGAAGCTTTTACTGCTCCAATGCCACAAAAAAAAGCCAGATTAAAGTAAGCTCAACAACACCTTAACCACCTCACGTCCAGCCCATGTATATAAACGGCCAGACGGTGGCAGTGCAGGGTGCGGGTGGCTGTTTATAAAAGGCATCCTCGCACCCTGCTTATGCGTGCTCCCTGGGAGCGCGCAGCACCACAATCCAGTGCCCGCTGTGTCCTCCGGACACAGTGGAACACCGATCGTCGGACGAGACCTCTGTGCGAGGTCCCGATCATGTGATCACTGATTGGCCAATCTGTGATCACATGCAGAGTAGTAAGCAAGATGTCACTTCTGACATTATTGCTTGCTACGTGTGAAATCTGTGAATGATCACAGAGGTCACATGGTAGAAGGCTATTCACAACAGCCTTGTACCATGTGACAAGCTGTGACCAATCACAGCTCACTCAGCAGTTCTCAATGGCTGCAAGAATGCAGCTAGAGAGAAGGAGAAAGATTGCTGTTACAGCCTTTATGAGTGTAAAAGCAACCAGTGTAAAAAAAAAAAAAAATCTTCATCACCCCCCCCCCCCCCCACAAGTAGTACAGTGTCACCATGGTGACAGTGTACTGGTAGGGTGACAGTATGTAAAAAAATAAAAAAAACATAAATGATAATATAACAAAATAAAAAAAAAATGTTTAAAAATTATAATGTTCGGTTATAAACTAATTTGGATTATTTTTTTACTAAAAAGATAATGGAATAAATTTTGGCCAAGATTTATGATGAAATATTATTTATTTGCAAAATTTCATAAGAAAAACACTTTTTTTCAAACTTTTTGGACTTTTCATTTACATAGCAAAAAAAATAAAAATCCCAGTGGTGAATAAATACCACCAAAATAAAGCTTTATCTGTCTCAAAAAAATGGTAAAAAATTAATATGGGTACAGTGTTGCATGACCGCGCAATTGTCTTTCAAATGTTGATAGCACTGAAAGCTGAAAATTGGCCTGGACAGGGTAAAAGTGTCCGGACTGGAAGTGGTTAACATGCCTCATAGCTTCTGGAACACAGTAATCTTGAGTGAAGAGATCAAAATAAAGCTTTATGGTCACAGCTATATGCATTATGTTTGGAGAGGAGTCAACAAGGGCTATAGCAACAAGAATACCATCCCCACTGTGAAACATAGCGATGGCTCACTGATGTTTTGGGGTGTGTGAGCTGTAAAGGCACATGTTATCAAAATACTAATAAAATCAAAATACTGTCAGATAATTTGCATTCTTCTACATGAAAGCTGCACATGGGACACTCGTGGACTTTCCAGTATGACAATAACCCTAAGCACAAGGTCAAGTTGACCCTCCAGTGGTTACAGCAGATAAAGTGAAGGTTTTGGAGTGGCCATCACAGTCTCCTGTTCTTAATATCATTGAGCGACACTGGGGAGATCTCAAATATGCGTTTCATGCAAGACAGTGAATGACTGTGTGACCTGGAGGAATTTTACCAATGGGCAGCAGTACCGCCTTCAAGAATATGAGGCCTCATAGACAACTATTACAAAAGACTGCATGCTGTCATTGATGCTAAAGGGGGCAATACACAGTATTAAGAACTAAGGGTATGCAGAATTTTGAACATGGGTAATTTCATTAGTTTACTTGTTGCCATGTTTTGTTTTATGATTGTGCCATTCCATAATGACCTACAGTTTAATATGAATCCCATAAGAGATAAAAAAATATATGTTTTGCCTTCTCACTCATGTTTTCTTTAAAAATGGTAAATACTGTACCAATTCTCCAAGGGTGTGCAAACTTTTGAGCACAACTGTGTGTGTATATATATATATATATATATATATATATATATACACACACACTACATTGCCAAAAGTATTGGGACGCCTGCCTTTAAACGCACATGAACTTTAATGACATCCCAGTCTTAGTCCGTAGGGTTCAATATTGAGTTTGCCCACCCTTTCAAGCTATAACAGCTTCAACTCTTCTGGGAAGGCTGTCCACAATGTTTAGGAGTGTTTCTATGGGGATGTTTGACCATTCTTTCAGAAGCGCATTCGTGAGGTCAGGCACTGATGTCGGACAAGAAGGCCTGGCTCGCAGTCTCCGCTCTAATTCATCCCAAAAGTGTTCTATTGGGTTTAGGTCAGAACTTTCTGCAGGCCAGTCAAGTTCCTCCAACACAGTAGTGCACAAAGCAAGGTCCATAAAGACATGGATGAGCGAGTTTGGGGTGGTCATGTTGGAACAGGAAGGAGCCATCCTCAAACTTTTCCCACAAAGTTGGGAGCATGAAATCATCTAAAATTTCTTGATATGCTGGTGAAGACTGGAATGTTATGGAGGCCTCTCTTGCACCTCCTGCCCAACACTCTTGAAGGTGGAGACAGAGAGTGTGAGGGCAAACAGTGGCACAAGTGCCAGAGTAGATGGCTGGTGTTGTCCACTCTGTAGGTGGGTTGAGCTGGTAGCCGAAGTCCTCAGAATAGAGCACAGGAGCAGCTTGGCATTAGAGCAGAAGATGAGGCAGGACCAGGAGACAGGCAGCATACAGCAGTCAGCAGTGACCAGGCAGCGAGGAACCAAATAAGCAGGCAGAGCAAGTCCAGGAGACAGGCCAAGGTCAGTAACAGCCGGGCAACACAGTACCGAAACAGTAGGTAAAGGCAAGTCCAGTAAACAGGCCGAGGTCAGAGTAATCAGGTGAATAGAGTTTAAGCAGGAGCTGAAGCAAAGTCCAAAGGCAAGCCAGGTTATACACAAGTATGCACGTACAGCGGATCAGATCACAGGAACACAAGGACAAGCTGAAGACCATTCAGCAACTGCTCATAATGACAGACCAGTTTAAATAGGCCATTGGGCACCAAGTGTGCATGCTAACTGGAATGTGCATGAGCCCATTTGCATGTGCGCATGAGCGCACAAATGTGCGCATAATGTACTGGAACAGCACATCTTTTGCTTCTTTGCTCATAAATATGAACACATGAGCAATGCATACAAATATGAGCATATGTCTTTACTGGTTCTCTGGTGCAAGGAATTCGGTTTCTGTTACAGTACTGTTCTCCTGGCAACCACCAAACCCAGACATTGTCAGACAGAGAAGCGTGATTCCTCACTCCAGAGAACATGTCTCCACTTCTCTAGAGTCCAGTGGTGGCATGATTTACCCCACTGCATCCAACACGTTGCATTGCACTTGGTGATGTAAGGCTTGGATGCAGCTGCTCGGCTTTGGAAATCCATTTCATGAAGTGACTGTTGGCGACTTCTGTGCATTGTGTGCTCAGCATGCGCTGACCCCGCTCTGTCATTTTACGTGGCCTACCACTTTGTGGCTGAGTTGCTGTTGTTCCCAGTTGCTTCCACTTTGTTATAATACCACTAACAGTTGACCGTGGAATATTTAGTAGCAAGGAAATTTCACGGATGGACTTATTGCACAGGTGGCAACCTATCACGGTACCACGCTTGAATTCACAAAGCTGCTGAGAGTGGTCCATTCTTTTACAAATGTTTGTAGAAGCAGTTTGCACACCTAGGTGCTTGATTTTATACACCTGTGGCCATGGAGTGATTGTAACACCTGAATCTAATCATTTGACGGATTTGGAGGGGTGGCCCAATACTTTTGGTAATATAGCAATATAGTGTGTGTGTATATATATATATATATATATATATATATATATATATATATATACAGTGATCAATATAAATGAGTACACCCCTTTTGAAAAATAAGATTTTAATCAGCATCTCAATGAACACAAGACCAATTTCCAAAATATTTACAAAACTGAGTTGTATAGAACATTTGTTTAGCTCATTACATGAAAGTTAGGGTACGAATATAACTTAGATTACAAAATCTTCAGTTTTACTCAAATTAGTTGATGCAAAAATTAATAAACCCCACAACAAAAACTACTCCATCTAGTATTTTATATGACCTTCATGATTTGTAAGGATAGCACCAAGTCTCCTAGGCATGGAATGAACAAGTTGGTGACATGTTGTAACATTGATCATTTTCTGTTCTTCAAGAACGGCTTCTTTTAGAGCCTGGATGCTGGATGGAGAGTGATGCTCAACTTGTCTTTTTCAAAATTCCTCTTTCAATATAGAGCAGCACATCTGTGAATTCATGATACCATCAATGAAATGCAGCTCCCCGAACACCAGCAGCACTCATGCAGCCCCATAGAAAGACACTGCCACCACTATGTTTTACTATGGGCAACATGCATTTTTCTTTGTACTCCTCACCTTTGCGATGCCATACAGTTTTGAAGCTATCAGTTCCAAAAATATTTACCTTGGTCTCATCACTCCAGAGTAGAGTCCCAGTAGTTTTCTTCTTTTTCAGCATGGGCCCTGGCAAATTCTAGGTGGAATTCTTTGTGCATGGGCTTTAGGAGAGGCTTCCTTCATGGACGTACCCATGCATGCCATTCCTCTGTAGTGTACTCCGTATTGTGTAATGGGAAACAATCACCCCAATTTTGCTTTCTACTTCTTTAGCTAACTGCAGTGAACTTATCCAGATATTGCAATGCATTGTTGATGAGGATTCTCCCGTCCTTCCCGTTTCTTGGCTTTTGCTTGGCAACTCGAAGTCTAAGCTCCTAGCTAACACCCCCTGGACACCCAGCACCCAGCTACCGGGCACCCAACTACCACCCCTGGACACCCAGCACCCAGCTATCAGGCTCCCAGCTACCACCCCTGGACACCCAGCACCCAGCTACCGGACCACCCAGCGAATCGAGACGTCGCCCAGCGAATCGAGACGTCGCCCAGCGAATCTCCCGGACCCGGACCACCCAGCGAATCTCCACTCACCGAGCCGCCAGCATCACCAGACGCCGTGCCTACCAACACCCCCTAACATCGCACCCTACGTCCCCTCCACTCGCCGATCCACCAGACCCACTGAAGACCCCTCGGACGCCAGCATACTGCACCCACAGATTGCAGCCAGCCAGCTGCTGGACTTTACTCCCACTCTCCCCCTACAGAAGGACTCTAGTGGACTCCTCCACGGTGATATAGACTCTCCACATCACCTCGCCCTGACCCGTATCCCTTCACCTCCCCTGACCCGAACAGCACTGCACTCACCCCAGCATGCCACCTGCACTTCTCCTCCTCGTTTTCCTCTCCTCTATCCCAAAAATCACCTCCCTCTACCCGCCCACCCCCCCCCAAAACAGCTCTACATTGCCCCATCACTTCTGCCCTCTCCCCACTACGGCACTCACCACCTCCTCCTGGTACTCCACTCCCCGGTCGACCCACGTGCCACCACTACCAGACCCACACGCTCCTGCACCTCCCATTCCCATGCCACCCTCCTCACCCTTCCTTCTCCTATCCGCTGGGGACATCTCCCCGAACCCTGGCCCCTCACCACCTCTCCCCCCCCCTCCAAGAACCCCCCCTCCAGGGACCCCCCTGCTCCCGCCAGCCGCCGCAACCCCCTCAACCTCATACCTGTGCACCTCCTCCCCGCATCCATCCCCCCTCTCTCGGTTGCACTTCTGAACGCCCGTTCGGTTTGCAACAAACTAACTGCCATCCATGACCTCTTTATCTCCCACTCCCTCAACCTCCTAGCCATCACCGAAACCTGGGTACAGGCCACCGACTCTACCTCCCCTGCGGCACTCTCCCATGGAGGTCTCATCTGGTCCCATTCACCAAGACTGAGCGGTCACAAAGGTGGTGGTGTTGGCCTGCTCCTATCACCGCTGAGCACCTTCCAGGTCCTCCCTAACCCCCCCTCTCTAACCTTCTCCTCCTTCGAGGCTCACTGCATCCGGCTCTTCTCACCCACCCCCTTAAGGATCGCAGTGATCTACAGGCCCCCCGAATCCATAGCCCGCTTCCTGGATGACTTCGCCGCCTGGCTTCCCTTCTTCCTCTCCTCTGAGCTACCGACCATCATCCTCGGGGACTTCAACATCCCCATCAACGACAACACCCCAGCTACCTCCCAACTCCTCCACCTAACCACTCAATCCTCCACCACCCACATCAATGGGAACACCCTGGACCTCGTCTTCTCCCACCTCTGTACCCTTAACCACTTCACTAACACCCCCTTCCCTCTCTCCGACCACCACCTCCTCACGTTCTCCATCTCCCCTTCCCCTAACTCCCCCCCCCCAGTGCGCCAAACCATCACCAGCCGCAACCTCCGCAACCTGCACCCGGCCCCCCTCCACTCGGCTGCCGACCGCTTGCACGACAGCATCCTTCCGCTGTCATGTCCTGACCTAGCCACCACCGCGTACAACGACTCACTATCAGCCACCCTAGACTCTCTGGCACCCCTAACCACACGCAACATCAAACCCAGACCACTCCAACCATGGCAGAACGACCATACTAAGTGCCTCAAACGTCGCAGTCGTGCGCTGGAGAGACTATGGCGCAAAACCAGGTTCCCTCATGCATTCTCCCTCTACAAATCTGCCTTCCTCACCTACACCTCTTCCCTCCACACCGCCAAGCAGGCCTACTTCGTTGACCTGATCAACACCCTCTCCACCTGCCCTCGCCGACTCTTCTCCACCTTCAACTCCCTGCTCTCTCCCCCCCCCCTCCTCCACTCAGTACCTCACTTACCGCCCACGAGATTGCCACTCATCTCCACAACAAGATTGACGCAATCCGCAAGGACATAGTCAACTTGCAATCTACCTCCCCATCTAGCCTCCCCCCTTCCATCACCCCCTCATCTCTCCTCCTCTGACCTTGCAACGGCACTGCCCCCCACCACACCCAAGGCCCTGGCTACCGTAACCCCCCCATCACTGCACTCCTTCAGCCCTACTACCACTGAGGAAGTCACCAGAGTCTTCTCAGAAGCCCGCCTCACTACCTGCCCCCTGGACCCTATCCCCTCTCAACTCCTCCGGTCACCCCCCTCTTCCCTCATCCGCTCCCTTACCCACATCTTCAATCTCTCCCTCTCTACTGGCGTCTTCTCCATCTACACCTCCTCCCTTGGCAAACTCATACACTCAATGGCTTCAACTACCACCTCTATGCTGATGATACTCAAATCTACCTATCCACCCCTCACCTCACCCCCCCCCACATTCTCCGCCCGCATCACTCACCTCCTAAACGACATCTCTGACTGGATGTCGCTCCATTTCCTCAAGCTCAACCTCTCCAAAACCGAGCTTCTCGTCTTTCCCCCTTCCCGTGCCCCCCCCATCCTTTCCATCACTACCAACAACACCACCATCAATCCCGCCCAGCAAGCCAAGGTCCTTGGCGTCATTCTGGACTCAAACCTTTCCTTTCAACCTCATGTCAAATCACTCACAAATGCATGCAGGCTCCACCGCCGGAACATCGCCAGGATACGCTCCTTCCTTACCCCAGACACCACTAAACTACTCGTACACTCCCTGATTATCTCACGCCTTGACTACTGCAACTCCCTCCTCACCGGCCTACCCCAGTGCAAACTCTCCCCGCTTCAGACCATCCTGAACTCAGCTGCCAGACTCATCCACCTCACCAGCCGTTCCACCACTGCCACCCCCCTCTGCGTCTCCCTCCACTGGCTCCCCATTGCCCAACGCATTAAATTCAAACTGCTCACTCTGACCTATAAGGCCATGAACAACACTGCCCCTAACTACCTCACCGACCTGATTCCCAGGTACCACCCTACCCGTACCCTTCGCTCTTCACAGGACCTCCTTCTATCTTGCTCCCTGGTCTCCTCCTCCCACGCACGACTGCAAGACTTCTCCAGGTCCTCCTCCATCCTCTGGAACTCACTACCCCAATCCATCAGACTGTCACCTTCCCTCCTCACCTTCAGGCGCTCCCTGAAAACCCACCTCTTCAGGGAAGCCTACCCCACCCTCACCTAACAGCCGCTGCCCTTCCCTCCTCCTACCACTCCATCCCCCACAGCCTTTTCCTCCTGTACCTCTACCCCCTCCCTCCTAGATTGTAAGCTCGAAAGAGTAGGGCCCTCTTACCCCTTGTGTCCTGTTTGATGTTACTGTACTGTTTCATGTATTGTCCCCCCCTCTATTGTACAGCGCTGAGCAAACCCTTTGGCACTATATAAACTCGATAAATAAATAAATAAATAACTTGCATGGCAATTTTCTTCAACCCTTCTAATCAGAAGAAGCTCCTGTCAAAGTGTTAACTTCTGTGGAGGGTCTGAACATCTCTGTGAGATGGTTGCAGTTCCATCTTTGTTACATGTTTATATCACCTGCTTTAAGACTTTCATTGGGGTATATTAATTTTTAAAACATGGCCTTGAATGAATTTGTTAGGAAAAATACTTTTTTTGTGTGTGTGTGCAATTAAGAAATCTGGTTTGCAATCAATGGCCCGCTTTTCTAGTATAGTGACCCATAGAAAATGTTGCCTCTGAAGGAAAAGTACAGGTTTTCTGACAAATCTGCTGGGGTGTACTTATTTATGCTGAGCAATATATATATGTATATGATATCACAAAAAAAATTAAAGCATGATGATGGGGGCA